AATTTATTATAATTTTATATTTAATTAATTTAATATAATATAATTAATTATTATAAATTTAATATGATTTATTCATTCGTAATTCCTATATATATAAATTGTTATTGAATGTGCTAACTAACATGGATGGGTGAGTTGGTAGCATAGTTATCCTTCTCTTTTGGAGGCCAGGGTTCGAATCCTCCTACTGTAAGGCATATAGATTTTTTTTTCAATTGAAATAGACTGCCACGTCAGCCCAAATATGCCACGTCATTGACACGTGGAAACACCACGTCATAAGAAAAATGCCACGTCACCAGAACAGACCCGAAATTGGGCCCTATGATTCGAATTGCAAGAAATAACTAAAGTTGTGTATTAAATGGTAAATTGCAAAGGTGGTGATTAAATTGCAAAAACATGAAAAGTTGTGCTTTTATATGCAATTTAGCCTTTTTATTATATAATTAATGTGTATTAATATGAGTTATTGATCAATACAAAATCAATGGCTAGGATTGAGTCCCACAAACTCATTTTACGAGATGTTCTCATTTGATCCACTCTTATATATATTCGATCGCGAAAGGTGCTCATTGAAAGAAATAAGAATTCATAATGACCATCAGATCGGATGGTATAATGGCTAAAAATAGGCAAAATTATACCTTCATTAAGATTAATGTGGTAATTTTCCACAACGCACACACTAACACACACATAACACAAACTCACGAACACACGCACATGCGCGTGCACACACACACACACTCACACACACATACACAAACACACACTAATGCATGCGCACACACACACACATTCACTCTCTCTCTCACACACACAGACACTCACACACACACACATGTACAAATACACACACTCACATATACACACACACACACACGCACATTCACACTCACACACACAAACACAACCACCCACACACACATACACACAAACACAAACACACAATCGCATAAACTCACGCACACGCACACACACACATACACAAACACACATGTGCAATTTCATAAACTCACGCACGCACACACACACACACATACACAAACGCACATGTGCAATTTCATACAATTTTCGTGGGCCAAATTTATAAATTAATTAAAACTTTAATAATTGCACATTAATGTTCAGTGCATTGCAAAATATATCATTTGAATGTGCACATAAATGTTATGTAGATTGCACCTTATTGACAAACCCATTGCACATTAGTGTCATCCATATTGCACCTTAGCATAACAGTGCCTTTTAAGCAATGACTAAAGTACCATTGTGTGAAAAAAAAAAAATCACTTATTTACAAGAATGCCACCGCGAGTTTTGACTAAAGTTGGACCATTTGACATGTTTATAGCGTTGATATATCACATCTAGTAATTTAAATATTGTAATGTGCCAGCCATTGGTACGGTACAATTATACAAAAAATACTGGATTTGCGGTTATACCAGTTTGTACCGAGATCATACCGTAAATATCGGTCCAAAATACCGGCCAGTAAAAAAAAATAAAAAATAAATAAAACTTATTAATTTAAAAACATAAAATTTAAATTGGTAGTTAAAATATTTTATTTTTATCTCATTGAAAAGTTGAAATTAATGATTATGGTCATTTATTTTTTTTACCGCATTTGGTATTATATATTTTTATGTATATTTATATATCATTATATTTGCTAGTCATGTAATACCCGAACGGTAATACCGCGTACCGGTGGCTAGACCGGTATGACCACCGGTACGGTATTTAAAACACTGATCACATCTAATGGCCATAATTCATCCTCCCTATATATAATTCCCGAATTCGCTGAGCCTACGTGGCTGATTCTGGTGCTTCGAAATCCTACTTGGCGAAGAATCATGCTTCGTAATGAGGTTTGGACAAATAATATTTATATATTAATATAATAATCTAGGTTCGGACATTCCATAAATATTATTTAGCTAACTTAGGTATTTTAATACCACTTGTACTAATATAACCCTTTAATTCTTTGTAATTTTACACAGTGAGGCATTAAGTGACTAATATATCCCTGACTTTGATTTGTTTACTTCAATTAGCTATTGAATTGTAAATGTATTTTAAAAGTTAATAACTTGTTTATTTGTTATATCGATTTTACATATATAATATATCAAATTAATCATCTTTTGATGATCATCGATTTGACATCCATATTGTATATATGAAATAAATAAATTATATTTATCTTTATAATAATAAAAAACAATACTATTTATTAAAATTCATTAGAAAAATAACATTATTTCTCAATTGATATATTTATGTTTAATGTAGTTATATGTTGTAAGTTAAAAGAATTATTATAATATAACACAAGTATGTCGCACAAATAAAAAGTATCATACTAGGTATATAATAATATATATATTTTTATAAAAGTTATTTAAATTTTCAACTACTTGTTTTCATTAATTTTAGATTGTAAGAATTCTTTTATAGCGATTAAATTAGATATGTTAAAGGCGTACGATCGTGTCGAATGGGATAGTGTGAGGCAGGTATGGCAGAGGATGGGTTTCTATGGTGCTTTTATTAAATAGGTGATGGGGTGTATTACTACAACATCTTTTTCTTTTAATTTGAATGGGCAGGTGTGTGGGCTGGTTTATCCATCGAGAGGGCTTAGACAGGGGGACCTCTCTCCCTATATATTTTTATTTTAATCGCAGAAGTTTTTTCTTCCTTACTGATTCTGAAAAAGGGTTGGGTGGTTTGCAAGGGATTAAAATTTCAAGAGGAGGGCCTATGGTATCTCATTTACTTTTTGCAGATGATTCCCTGGTGTTCTGTAAAGCCGACAATAATCAGGCTTACCAGCTAGTGGATATTCTTGCCAAGTACAAAGCTTTCTCTGGTCAACAAGTGAATTGGGGTAAGTCAGCTGTGAAGCAGAGTGTCTGCCATATTTTGGGAGGGATCACAGTTCATACTTCAACCAGATATTTAGGACTACCACTGGGGATTGGTAAGTCCAAGGTGGAGACTTTCAATTTTGTGTTAGAAGCAGTCAAAGGAAAGGTCCAAAACTGGAAGAATAATTTTTTTATCCACGACTGGCAAGGAGGTGCTGATTAAAGCGGTGTTAAATGCCCTACCTATTTTTGTTATGAGTTGTTTTAAACTTCCTGTTACTATTTGTAAGAAGATTGCAGGTATTTGTGCTGACTTTTGGTGGTCAAAAGGCAAAGAACATGACAAAGGTTTTCATTGGAAGTCCTGAAGTTTTATGACTCTACCTAAGAAGTGGGGTGGACTCGGCTTTTAAGATATCCAACTCTTCAATGATGCAATGATTATGAAACAGCTGTGGAGAATTCTGACAAAACCAGAGACATTGGTGAGTAAGTTACTCAAAACCAGGTACTTTCCTCATTCTGAATTTGTGGATGCAAAAAGAATTACTGGAGCTTCTTGGGTATGGAATAGTTGGATGGATGTGAAGGAGAAATTTGATCAGAATGTCCAGGTACAGTTACATAGTGGAAAAAATACTTTGATTTTGGGCTATCCTTAGGTGCAGAATCTGGGAAATGAAAGGGTGGTTTTTAAAAAAAATGTATCAGATGCACCTGTTTGGGTTGAAGATTTATTGCTGGAGGATGGGAGGCAATGGAACAGTGAGTTGGTTAACAAGATGTTTGACGGGAGATAGCAGAGGCCATTTTGCAGATGAAGAACATAAGGCCTGGAGAGACAGACAGTTGGGCATGGAGACCTGATAAGAAGGGTAATTTTTCTGTCTCTTCGGCTTATGCTTGTTTAACTTTAAATAAAATATTGAAAATGGATCTTCCTGAAGGTAGCAATTCTAGAAGGATTGATCTGCTAACCAGGAAAAGGACTTGGCACCTCAAAATAAAAGGTAAAATTAAACATTTTATATGGAAGTGTTTTTCGGGAACACTACCAGTGAATGTTAATTTACTCAAAAAAGGCATCAGGGTGGACCCAATTTGCGAAATATGTGGGGAAGCAGAAGAGACGATTGAAATTGTTTCTAGGAATGCCGTAGAGCCAAGAGAATATGGGAATTAGCGTCGGTGAGTTGGGATGGGCTGATGTCAAATAACATACTTTTTCTGATTGGTGGTGGCAACTATGCTCTTTATCTCATAAAGCCATCGATGAGGACAGGATTCAATTGTCGACATATTTACTATGGTGGCTATGGAAAGCACGCAACTTATGGGTGTTTAAAAAGCAGTGGCTACCCGAGTTTTGGTTAGTGCAACAAGCGGGCAAGGATTGGAGAGAATTCAGTCAGATTTAGTAGTTTGTGTTCTAGACTAGGAATGGATGATGTAGGTCGTAGTAGTGCGTCGTCTTGTTCCTAGTGTCGGGTTTTTTATATAAATTATGTGTTCTGTTTGTGTATTAATCTAAAGGTTTTCAGCTTCCTTAGTTGTCTATAGATTTGTCTTATCTTGATCTAGATCGAGTTTGAGCGATCTCCCATTTCTTCAGGCTATTTTTTTGAGTGTCCCGGATGGGCGAAGTTGTATTTGAACTTTGTATTCTTGTTTTGAATTAATGTGAGTTTTCCTATTGTGTCGAAAAAAAAAAAAAAAAAATCTTTGTTAATGTGCCTCCTTTGGATTCATTGATATGAACATAATTTTCATTATATTTTAAATGCCCACATACTTTTTCCATTCATATAATATAATGTCATCTTAGGAATCATCTCAAGTCACACTGGATAATATATTAATAATCCCATCTTTGGTCCCCCTACATAAATATGATTTTTTATTTTGCTTTGTCAAAAGTGGGTATAATATGATGACATTTTTTCCTTTTTTTTTTGAATAAAAAAATAAGAAATTATATATTTGTCTATTTTCTCAGCTGAGAAGATTTCGTAGAGATCTTACAATAGACTTCTAATTTTGCTTCACCATATTGGCAGCTGATTGTTATTACACATGGCTCATTATCCCAAATCATTCTTCAGCTTACTGATGAGTTCATTACAAATCCTATGCTTGTTATGGTTACAACTCCAAATCCCACAAATTCATGCAAATATCAGCCACAACAGTATTCATAAGGTGAAAACAGAGGTTTTCTTGTCACCCAAATTTGAACTGGAGCCTGGACAGGTCTCCAACAAATACTATGTCGACGTCGATTTTCCACGCGGACACCTCGGCTTGAAGAGCGTCGATGCAGAGGTTGTCGACGAGGCGGGAAAACCGGTCCCGCTTCATGAGACGTACCTCCATCATTGGGTCCTCCTGAGGTACTACCTGCGTGAAGAAGACGCTGCAGGAAATGACCATACTGATTTCGGAGATAATATCCCTATCAAGAACAGTGACATCTGTGATAACGGGCTGACACAGTATTACGGGATCGGGGCCGAGACCCGAAAAACAGCCACTTATGTTCCGGATCCGTACGCAGTCGAAATCGGTAATGCTTACTCTCGTGTCCTTTATTAGTTTTCCATTGGCTTAGTAGTTACTAATGGTCGAAAAAAAAAAAAAATCTCGGCAGGAAATCCAGCCGACGTTCCGGGAGGGTACAAGGAAGGGTGGGTGCTGAACGTGCACGCCATCGACACGCGTGGGGCCCGGGATAAATTGGGATGTACCGAGTGCAGGTGTGATTTGTACAATGTGACGGTGCCCGGAAACTACAAGGGTGGCGTGAGCTGTTGTTATGATGAGTCGAGGTGTGAGGTCGAACAAGGGTTTCATGGCGCGAAGAAGAGCTTGTACTTGAGGTACACGGTGAAGTACGTTGAGTGGGACCAATTGTCGTTCGTGCCTGTCATGATCTACATACTCGATGTGGCGGATGTTTGGACAAGGGCCGATGAGTCGAGTGGGGCTAAGGATAGGCACAATTGTGCAGTAAGAATACTTTTTTCACTCTTAAATTTAAGGGGGTGTGTTCGTTTCGAATTTCAAGTGACATTTTGAGATTTATTAAGATTTGAGACTTTTTAAGATTTTCAGATTAAGGAGAATTCTTTGAAACCTTAAGTTTGGAATTGGAGATTTTTTAAAATCTCAAATGAATACCTCGATACTTTTAAAAGTCTTAAAAAGCTTAAATATAAATACACTAGGATTTCTCAATTCTTAAAAAGTATTTATAAAATCTCAAGTGAATACACCCTGTAGTTTCACAGGGCGTTCATTACAGATAATACAGACATCTTGTTAGACAAAACTCTGCAAAAGCAATGCCTACACACAAGGCTTGCGTCATAGTCATATATAATTATTTGGCGTCAAATTTAACAACGCAACTTGTTATGTTTTTAAAATTGAAGGTAATTTTTTTGTGATGCCTTAGCATATCTAAAATCACTAAAATCATTGTTTCTAGTCAGAGTTGAATGCTGTTATGTACAATTTTTGACATAGGTCGAATACGACATCGATTCTTGTCCAACTGACGTTGCGAAAAACGGCGGCTGCATTCATTCAAAGATAGTTACAGTTAGTTTGCCAGCCGGTGGTGACGTTATTTACGGAGTCGGGCACCAGCATGCCGGAGCCACTGCGATAGCTTTGTATGGAGAGGTGCTTTACGAACGACTTAATTTGTTATCACAAATATTCTATTAATTTATATTTGCTAATAATTTGATTCACTAGGTCAATCAGATACTTTTAATTTGTTGTGTTTCAAAAGATATCCTTCATGTTCAGTCCACACTACATAGAGATAATTCATGGGCTTTCTAACATTTTAAACTTGAATTGTGTTCTCAATTAGCACATTTATATTGTGTGTACTCATTGCATTAGGCTCTTTGTTCTCTTAAATTAAATATTTGGAGGACATAAGAAATAAATAAGAGTATAAAAAACAAAATTGGATGATTTATTTGCTATTAGTAATACATGTAATGCTAACTAATGATCCAGGGAGGAAGAGTGATATGCTCGTCAAACCCAATATACGGACAAGGGAACGAGCCAGGTGACGAGGCCGGCTATGTTGTGGGGATGTCCACGTGTTACCCCTCACCCGGTTCGGTCAAGATCTCGAATGGGGAGAAACTGACTCTTGTCTCAAACTACAGCAACGACCAAAGTCATACAGGCGTCATGGGGCTTATGTATATCCTAGTGGCTCATTCATCGGACAAAGGACACAAACTTGCCCTTCGTGCTCCACTCCAAGTAAAATCTTTAGTTCTTTCGTAAACACAATCACTATTGTATTACACAATAGCTTGATAGTTTACTATAACAGAATTAAGGAGAACATCAAGAGCATAAATAGTAACACTTCTTTTTAAAGTTCGCAGGCACTAGCTAAATCGATTTTGCTGTTGTACATTCATTTTTATGGGCCCATACGATAATATTTAATTACCAAGGATCACTTTCGTTGCAGGCGCTCGAGACTATGATAACGTCCAAATTTGTTTGGTCGATAGCTCTCGTTGGATTTGCACTCGTTCTGGCTCTGGCTGTCATGTTTTTTGTGTTGAAAGGTAGGGAGGGAAGAGATTATGGTTATGAGGCTATGATATGAAGTTGTTCGTTGATGCAAGATTGGCTCTACTCAGAAATATTATGCAGTCGTGTCCATGTTTGGACCGCACGTATCATATATATGCATGTTGGGTTCCCTGTATCAAGAAGATAATGTGAACTTAATGTAATAACTCAAATAATCATGTAATGGACGAGTGTTAAATTATGAAATCTATATACAACGTTTTTTAGTATAAACATTATTGAAGCATTTTTTTTTTTTTCAAATTTTGAAATAGTTTGATTAAACTGATTGTGCACATTATAATTTTTTAACTTATAATATTTTTTTAAACTGGTGTTATAATACGAAATTGAATGCCAGTAATATTATTATCATATACTGTTCATTATCTCTAGGCTAATGACCAGGGTGCTAGCTAATGATATAGCACTTTGAATAGCTCGAGAGACCGGCTTACTTAGTGGTTAGTTCAAGTAAGGTTTGTCCAGACCGGTTTAACTCGGTTTGGAGACAATTTGCATATCAAATTGGCCTTGTCTGTGGGAAGCGTCTAGTCTTTTCAGGATATATATATAAAGGACTAATCGTGTTCTAATAAAAAGATTTTTGAAAGGTTCGAAGATCATGACAACAAATACTCTAAGAAAAATTAATTGACTAAAGTTCTAGAGGAGACATGGGTGTCGCGAGCTCCTTTGGAAACGACCGCCACACAAGGTTGGTCGAAGCAGTCCAGCGCGCAGGTCACACCCACTATGACGTTGCATGCACCGCACATCGCCCTCACCCCAACATGGAACGCATCAACAAAACCTCCAAGGACACGAGTCGGTGGTCATCCAACAAGGGATGAGGGTACAGGATGTGCAAGAGCAGGTAGCTTTAGAGAAAGTTAGAATTCACCATTAGGATGATCCAGGGGCCAAAACCTCAAGAACAAGTAGATGGTAGTTGCAAGATCCCAGGGAATAGGAGGTCTCCTAGGGCGATCAGGTCATTCAATTCAGTCGAGTAGAGCTGGACATAATTGAGGGCAGTGACCAAAGCTCTGGCGGTTGGCCAGGCAAATCCTGTGGTTCAATAGCCACCGCCCTAGAGAAGAGCAACGAGGTGGAGGTAAGGTCGACATCGTCGTCGACTACGATGACTAGATTTTCTAATGATTCCACCTTAAAAAGGCTCGCAACTCAACTTCTTGAGTTGCATGCTCAAGTAGAGCGTAGGGTTGCGCCTCAAATTCATTCCATTCATTTGTCGAGGAGTTTTTGGAGGATAATCTTACAAATAATTTTCGTGAGCTTAATTGTCATATGATGGATTGACATACCAGGCTCGACATCACAGGTCATTTGATAACATAGTGGTTCTCCAAAGGCACAACGATGCCGTTTGTTGTAGGGATTTTTTTACCATATTGAAGGGGTTGGCACAGGACTGGTTTAACCAGTTACCTTCGGGTCGATCTACCGTTTTGAGAGGATGGGCTCTCAATTTATTAGTCAATTCTCAAGTTCAAAGAAGCACGACAAGACCTATCTGGATCTAATTAATATGCAACAGAGGGAAGGGGAGACTCTTCGAGAGTATGTAGCTTGCTGTTTATTGTGTTCTTGTGCTTTTTTTATGTGGTTTTGTGTATAGTTGAGTCGGTTTTAGGTTTATTTTAGTGTCGACCGGTCCATTTTATCATATTTCGTGTGTTTTTATGTCCTTCTTTCTATTTTATATTTTCTGCGTACTTTTCTGTGCTTTTTTTGGTGCAATTTCAGGATTATTCTGAGGATGAATGAGAGGAGTCGAGTCGAGTTCCCAAAAATTCTGAGAAGTTTCGAGCCATTTTGTACAAGCCACCTCCAATCGAGTATGTCGAGTTCTAGTCGCACAGACGAGTCCTGTCCTGCTCACTCGCGAACACGCCCCGTATTCCGCGACCTCGCGAACTAGCACTGCCGCGCACACGCGACATTGCATTGACGTCCGCAACCTCGCGGACGCATGAGACCCTTGCCCAGACATTCACACACGCGGGAGTTTTTGCGAGCTCGCGAGTGTCGCGGCACCCGCATTCGCGATCACGCGGGATAAGCCGTAACCTCGCGAGTGTCAGCCATCGTGTGCCCACGCCTCGCGGTTCTTTCCACGAGGTCGAGAGTTCCTTTGCCCGCGTCCCAGCGTCCGTGCACACCCGTCTCTGCCCGCGCCAGCGCCCGAGCTAATCGTCGTCCGCGCCCAGCAGAAATGGCCACGAATTTTAGAGTATTTTAGATAATGTGCATTTTTCTACTGTGTGTTTGTGTTGAAGTATAAATACAATTGGTCAATTTGAATTTGGAGTATCTATCCTCATTTTTAAACTTTTCCCTTTTAGAATTTAGCTTAAGTTTTAGTTTTCTCTCTATTTCTTATGGTTTGTTAGGAGCTTATGTCAGTTTTCCGATGGGTTTTCCGGCAACTTTCTTTTCGTTTAAGTTTCGAGCTTTTGATTCTGTTTTTCATTTACCATGCAATAAAATATTGGGTATTTATCTTTAAAGCTCTTTACTTCGATTTTTTGCCTCGTTTTTACTATTAATGCTTATTAAGGTGATTATGAGTTTGGATGGATGATGGATGCAAAGCTCAATTTTGATTGATTTTGTTGCTTGCTTGAGTTTAAGTAGGGATTAATTACTTGCGTTGCTTGATTAAGAGTTAAGACTCATTTGAGCTTAATAACTAAAGGTTAGGGTTAATTACCTTGTGCTCATAGCTTGCATGTTTCTCTTTGCTATTTATTTTTCCTTTATTGTGTCGATGGCATGAGACTCCGAGGGTTTGATTTCTTTAGTTGCTAGTCATTTGCTATTTTTCGTAGTTGCTTGCTCGTTTAGTGTTAATCCAACTCCAAACCAATTGATTATAATGTTTAGGAGTTATTTTCTCTTTTTGTGATTTGGACATCGAGTAGTGAACCAAACTCCGAATAGCCTACCTTAGAGAATGATCCGAGTCCGGGTAACCTGGTTACCACATACCCATCGCAAAACTCTACTAAACACTTGCTATATGGGTGAGTGCATGGAGGTCCCCACAACATCTGAGGAGATTAGAGAGGAGGGTCTAACCAGTGGATTCTAGTCAGGTCCATATTGATATTCATTGGCAAAGAGATCGGCGAGGTCCTTTGACAAGTTGTTGGCCAGGTGCGCAAAGTATATCAATGAGGAAGATGCAGAGGCCGACTTTTTGCATAGTAATAAAGTTAAGGTCAAGAAAGCTGAGGAAAATCCTCTTTCAAACAACAAGAGGTCTTCGAAGGACTCCATGCGGATGAATGAAGCAAGATGGGGTAAAAGTAGGGGTAGTATGCACCCTTCGTAATACTTCAGAAGCAGGTGTTTGAGGTCCTAGAGGAGCGTGGTGACACGATTATTATTTCCAATTTAATCTCATCCTGAAGAAGAAAGGGTGTGTGCCCTCACGAGGTGATCCCTATTGTTGGTACCCTTAAGACTATGGTCATTCCACAAACAGTTGTAGGAATCTAGATGATGAGATTAAGAAACTCATTTGAGTTGGTCATCTCAAATAGTTTGTTTTGAAGGATAAGAAGAAGAGAGAGGACCGCGAAGTCATAGAGATGAAAAAGTGACCTGAGGAACCCAAATAAAGACCACCCAATCGAGAGGTGATCTAAATGATTGAGGGATGTCTTACTGATGTGGACCCCCATAATGTGTAGAAGAGGACTTACAAGGGTAAGTAGATCGCTGAAGTTCATATCCAGCTGCCCGAGGTTGTTATGAAGTTTGAATCTGATGATATGTATGGTATCTCTACCCCCACATAATGACGCATTTATTGTCATGGCCGAGGCCACGAGTTACGATGTCTAGAGAGTTTTCATAGACACCAGATGCTCGACTGACACTATTTTTCGTAAGTGTCTAAGGCATATGGACCTTGACGTGAAGATTGAGCCAGTTCGCATGGCTCTTTATGGGTTTACTGGTAATGAGCTCACACCAATCTGTGACGTGCGCCCGCCCGTGGCATTGCGACAGTCGCCTCTTAGGAAGGTTAAACTGGTCCGCTTTCTCGTAGTGGACACTAACTCGGCAGACAACCTCATTCTGGGGTGTCTTTATCTAAACGCTTTTCAGACTGCAGTCAACCTACTGCATGAAAGTTAAGTTCCTAGTGGGGACCAGTTCGGCGAGGTGGTAGGAGACCAAAGACAAGCCTAGTCGTGCTATCAGGTGATGCTTAAGAGTGCATAAGCACAAGGACGAAAGAGTGGTTATAAACCAGAGCAGCTCGAAAGCTCTTGCAAGGGAAAGAAGTGCAAGAAGCTCATAATCTCATCCAAGGACGAGCTCATTGAGATTGAACTTATAGAGAGAGAGGTTAGAAAGGTGACTAGGGTTGGAAGTCATCTTCTGGAGAATATGCAGGCCGCCATCATCGCTTTGTTGAGGGAATATATGAATGTTTTACCTTTTCATATGATGTCTTGATAGTGATAAGTCTAGAAATAGCAGAGCATAAGCTAAACATCGACTTGGATGTAATGCCTTAAAAACAGAAGAAAAGGCATTTTAGTACGGAGCTCGACCAAGTGACTGAGGATGAGGTAGAGAACCTTTTGAAGACAGGTCACTTTCGACCTATTCAGTTTCTAGAGTGGTTGCCGAACTTCGTGATGGTAAAAAAGGGAGAAGACAAGTGGCAGATGTGCACTGACTTCAGGGACCTTAACAAGGCATGCCTAAGGACTACTATTCGTTTTCGAGGATAGACTTACTTGTGGATAAGAAAGCAGGTCGCGATCTTCTCAGTATTCCCAGGGATACTACCAGATACTCTTGGCGGTCGAGGACCAAAAGAGGGTAAGTTTTGTGATGTCCAAAGGCACTTATTGCTACGTGGTGATGCCTTGCGGACTCAAGAATGAACAAGAGACCTATCAGAGACTAGTGGGCAAGATGTTCAAAGACCATATTGAAGGGAACATGGAGGTCTACATGGATGACATGCTCGTGAAGAGAAAGAAGGCTGAGAGTCTTATTTATGACTTGAAAGTGACCTTTGACAAGCTGTGAAGCCACGACATGAAGCTTAACCCAGCAAAGTGAAATTTTGGGGTCAGGCCGAGAAGGTTTCTAGGGTACCTGGTTATAGAGAAGATGGTCGAGTCGAGGTCAACCTATAGAAGGTTAAGGCGGTGCTCGAGATACAAACACCGAAAAGTTTGAAGGAGGTTCAGGGCCTCATAGGTCTTTTGGCCAGGCTGAGTAGGTTTAACGCTTCGCCGAGTGATAAGAGCATTCCATTTTTTGGGCATTGCGAAAGGGACCTCGTTCTGTAGACACCCCAGACAACGCTGATTTTATAGGCTCTAGGAGTTTTTGGCCGAGTTGCCATTGCTCACGAAGTCGGAACCTATGGACAACCTTGTCATATACCTCTAGCAAAGTGACTATCAGCTTGGTGTTATTGAATGAAGAAGGAGGTTAGCATAGACGTATCTACTATAGAAGCAAAGTCCTGTAATGTGCAATGTTGATGTCTTCAGAGGTAGAGAAGGGTTCCAACTTGATAAAAAGAGTGTAACACAGTCAGAGAGCTTGCGGGTGCAGCTCAAGGTACAGGTCGACCTGTCAAGACAACCTAGTGGTAATGACCTCCAAGAGCTCGGATACGAAGAGAGACCTCGAGGTTTCGAGGTAGCAAGTAGGAGAGGTCGGGTATCGACCTCGGTAAGGTCTTATAGAAGGAAGGTCATGAGGTCGTGGTTACGACATCAAGGTTGTGCGGTAAAGGGGGAAATATTCTAGTAGGATGGAACGTATAACTTGCTAAGGAGACTTACATGGATAGAGACACGGTAAGCTAGGAAAAAAAATCTGCTTAAGTCTCTTTCCCAAAAAGGACTCTCTTGAGCATCAAAACAATCACCCTATATAAGGGTAATCAAGTTCTATGTTAATATCTATCGAACTAGGCATTAAATGCATAATATATCACTTATTATCTTGAACCAGATTTGACTTGAGCGTCAGAGTGTCTATGTTGGGTCCCTTTCCTGGCGCATTGCAGGTCTTCGAGCTCGAGGAAAGAGGACATTCAAGGATCAATCAGTTATACTCGGTCTGTGACAAATTTGACACATTTGTATTGTCTAGTTTGGCTCACAACCAATTGGGTCGTTGTGTTATACCAATTGTTCCATTTGAGTTTTCTTATTTATGCAAATAGTATGAATGTGTCCAAATCTCTTTAGATGTGGCCAAAATCGAACCAAAACCAAACAAGTCAAACTTGTTGACCACGGGCCTTGAACAGACCCAGGAATATATTTAGACCTGTTCAAGCAAAATAAAATTGTTTTAACAGTTGTTACCGATTTAGGTTCGAACCTGAACTAGCCCGGTGGCCCGTATCTATTTATTATTTTTCTTTCAAAAATTCAAATTTTATCAAAGAATTAAATTTTTTCTAGTTCGGGTCGTGTCGGGTTGGGCCCAAACAGTGACGAATTTAGGAATTTTGCCAAGGGGGGCCCAACTAATAATAACCAAAAGAAATACATCAGCTGTAAAAATAAATAAATCAGTACAAGTACCGACTAAATAAACATAATATATATGTTCGAGTATTCAAGAAAATAATTTACGATAACATTGAGAGATCACAACATTTCTCTTCTATTTTTCATGTTTTGAAATCGTTGTATGATAGTCTCATTGCTAACGTTCCAAAATATATCTTTCTCGATGAATTAACAATCCGAATGAACGAATGAAACAAATAAACACAAATAAGTTTTTCAACCAAAAAAAAAGCTTATATAGCAAACCAATTACCCATTGCCTCCATGAGAAAGATTAGATAAAAAATCGTAAATATCCAAAAAGAAAATATGACAATAATTTGGTACCAACTTGATTACCCATTATCAGCAAATCACATGCCTTAATATACATATGGACAATAGATTTCATCAATTTATGCTTCAATAATTAAATTGAAAAATGCAAGTAACGTTTTCCTAGGTCAAACCCTTGGACAAAAATTAGGGATGATGATCCTCACAAATTAAATTTCACCTTAAAATACACAATTCAAGCACACAAATCTCGCTATAAAAAAAAAAAAAAGAAAAAAAATTCAATCTTCTCTTTTCCCCCAAATATACGCATTCACAACTTTCGTTGACATCCTCCGTTGAAAGTAGAGAATTGTATAAAAAATACTTACTCAACAAGACAGTTTATCTAAGGCCGAAGCTGAAAGCCAGATGGGATGACTGAAGCCGGATGGACGATGTACGGGGATGATATTTTTTTCTTCTCAACTCTCACGGGTATTGTTTTATTTGGTATAACTTCTAGGTTTTCATCTGATTTACCCTTACCCAAACCAATATATTTAATTTTTTTATATTACAATAAATTTACAAAAATACCCTTCATTTTTTTAAAAAAAAATTGGGGGTGCCCCCTAAGCCCCCTACAGTTCCGTCCCTAGGCCCAAAATCAGAATCGTTCGAATCTGGACCATTGTATCGTTTAGGTTGTTGGAGCTCCAACGGCCATTTAAAAAGTGTCAGAACTGTCGGTTCAACCTAAAGCCGGCATAACCGTTCTAACATATGAACCGTTGGTTCATTGAACTGACATGCATATATGCCCTTGTCGTTTTGAGTTCACACAATCCCCACATTCATTCGGGTTCTCACCACGAACTCTTAAACCACTTGTCGAGCCTCCCAACGATACGGGCCTAACTAGTGCATGGCCCAAGCGGGCTACGTGATCCACGCCCACAAAGGCGGGAATAATCCACCCAGGAGAATAAGAGTGCTCTATTTCTTACTTCCACGATAATCAGGATCGAACACCCAACCTCTGACTTCAACAAAGCCTTACTCTTTCACCATCAGCCAAGTGCTTTCACGCCCTAGAGGCACTTTTCTTTCTCAAATCCATATATATATAGCTGCAAACTTGCGAAGTCCCCATTATTGACCCGATAAAAAGGATACGGAGCTCCAATCAAAGTTTTCGGGTCATATCATCTCCCTTGAAGAATCTTTTACAAAATTCTCAAATATTCCTCTTTTCTTCTCCATTAACACCCTCATCTCCATTAATACTCATAAACCTTCTCTCTCTGCAGATCTGTAAACGCAAGATTGATATTTTCTTTCTTCACCATGCGGTGAGGATATAACCATTCCAGGATTTTTCGCCTTCCATTTTTATAATTTTGTACCGATTATTTATGTCTACGGGAGTTGAGAGGCATGCCAATTTCCCGGCATCAGCTGCTGCTGCTGCAACAATGGCATCTGGAGCTGGCGATCCGCAGGCCCGACCCGGATGCTGCAACCCGGTGAAAAAGCCCGGCCCAGTGTCGATGGACCACGTGCTGGCCGCCCTGCGGGAGACCAAGGAGGAGAGAGACTCGAGAATACGGAGTTTGTTCAGCTTCTTCGATTCCAATAACGCCGGGTACTTGGATTACGGCTTGATCGAGAAGGGGCTGTCTGCAATGCAAATCCCCGCGGAATACAAGTTCGCGAAGGAGCTTTTGGAGGTTTGCGACGCTAATCAGGACGGGAGAGTTGATTATCAGGAGTTTAGGAAGTATATGGATGACAAGGAGCTGGAATTGTACAGGATCTTCCAGGCAATCGATGTGGAGCACAATGGATGCATTGTACCTGAGGAATTGTGGGATGCTCTTGTCAAGGCTGGTATATTATCGCCACTCTATGTTTTTTTTTTCTGTTGATCCATCTTTTTTATGGTATGATTTTATTGTTGTTCTTCAAGGATAGCTGTTGAAAGTGATACTATGTTAGCAATTTTTTGTTTAGAGCGCATTAAGGTCTTGAAATGGTATAGGGCCTAGTGGAGGTAATTGGAGGAAGTGGTGAGTTTCATTTGATAATAGTTTCAAAATGACTTTGAGGGTCAACTGCATTTGGCCAATCTTAATTTAGGCGAACAAAGGGTTGGTGTCACTCACTTTACCATGTATTCCGCTGACGAACGTTCGTATTCTTCTGTGTTGAGGTTTTGCATGGACACATGATGCAGGGTTGTTTGCCGTATACACATATCTTTGCTCACGGCTATCAACAGTGTAGCTCTAGACAGTTTTTGCTTGAATTAGGAATTGGGAATTTTATTGAACAAAAAAACCAAGAAATAAGAATGTAAACCTTTGGTGTGCTGTGGAAAGGATTAAAATTGTTGAATGTTCAGTCAAGATGATCTCTCACAGAAAACTGCCTGAAACGTATGTACTCGTACAATTCCAATCTTCAATAGAGAAATCGGTACTATTCATGGTGCTTGAGGTAGTTTATAGTTGTATTACTCTTAATTTACCTTATAGGCCTCGAAGTATGAGATCTTTTACCCTCAAATAGTCAATTGGAACGAAGAGTTGTCACTTATGGTTAGTTGATTGCTAGCTGTTGAAATTTGACCGTGACTAGGACTGTCGTTGAGCCTAACAGCGGATTGCAGCTCTCAAAATGATTTTGGTAATTTAAAGCCAAAACACAAGTCAAAGATTAATGAAACATTGTTTGATAAAGGGGATCAAGGGTAGTACAGATATTTACTTCGAACGCAATCTTTATTGTTACTTGTTTCTTGCTGCCATTTGGTTTGCCAGCCCTATCCAAAGCTTATTTGCTTACCAGCTCTGCTATAGCTGTGCTTAAATATGTAGGTGTGCCACATATGTGGTTGGATCAGCTCTGACCTCATCTCGAAAACATGGTTCCATATTTTCAACATCTTCTCCTCAGCTTAAAAAACTTTATCATATGTGACTTGATATCATCGTCTTTGACCGTATTCTATTGCTTTTGATGAGTAATTTCTTGAGCAATTTACTTAATATTCCCAATTAAGACATTATCTTCCTCACATATGCCTCTTCTATCAAAAAGTCAGAATATTTCCATCTTCTTTTTTCATTGTCGATATTTCTTATACTCAAACTTATCTTTTTATATTCCATTTGTTTCTTAATATTACGCTTGGTAATTTAGGTTACAGTAAATATAGTCATGAGCACTTCCCATTGATGTTTACATGCTGGCTCTTTCCTGTTTACAAGCACGCTTCCTGTCTGGTACCGACTGTCAATGTTGTCCTCTTTACATGGACACTAACTTCTTAAACTCAGATAGTACGACATTCATGGACCATGTATCAATGCACGTCCTTTTAAGTTCTCCTAGGCACAACAGTTTCTGTTTTCATCTTATAAGTCATAGCAGTTTGTTTCCCCCAGGGATCGAAATCAATGACGATGAGCTCGCCAGCTTTGTCGAGCACGTCGACAAGGACAACAACGGCATCATCACTTTCGAGGAGTGGAGAGACTTTCTCCTGCTCTACCCTCACGAGGCCACCTTAGAGAACATCTACCGGTACTGGGAGCGCGTGTACCTAGTCGACATAGGCGAGCAGGCCGTGATCCCGGACGGCATCAGCAAGCACGTACACGCCACAAAGTACCTAATTGCCGGAGGGGTCGCCGGAGCCGCCTCCCGCACGGCCACCGCACCTCTCGACCGCCTGAAAGTAATTCTTCAGGTCCAGACGACCCAAGCCTCGATCGGGCCCGCGGTTCGTAACATATGGAAAGAAGGCGGGATTTTGGGATTTTTTCGTGGGAATGGGTTGAATGTGCTTAAGGTGGCCCCTGAGAGCGCCATCAAGTTCTACACGTACGAGCTGTTGAAAGGGTTCGTTGGGGATGAAAATGGGAATGTGGGGACCGTGGGGCGGCTCGTTTCAGGTGGGCTGGCTGGGGCTGTGGCCCAGACCTCGATTTATCCGATGGATCTCGTGAAGACCCGTTTGCAGACGTACGCGTGTGAGAGCGGAAGTGTGCCGAGCTTGTGGAAGCTTTCCAGGGATATATGGGTTCAGGAGGGACCTCGGGCGTTTTACAGAGGACTGGTGCCGTCACTTCTTGGGATTATACCTTACGCGGGCATTGATTTGACGGCATATGAGACCTTGAAGGATATGTCCAGGAAATATATTCTTCAGGATGGGGGTATGATTTAGAATTAGTCTTTGTTTTACAAATTATATTTTGTCTTTTTATTTCGCTTTATTTGTATGAATCGTGATAATTGAAACAGTTTTCTGTAATATTATTGGGCAGAACCTGGTCCCGTCGTGCAGCTGGGTTGTGGGACAGTTTCGGGAGCACTTGGTGCAACGTGCGTTTATCCACTGCAGGTGGTAAGAACTAGGTAATCATTGCTTACTGTAACCCTTCTTCTATTGGTTGTATATGTTAGAAAAAGATGTAGTTTTTGTGTTGTTATTTTTGTCCATGTGAAGAATTTTTCACCACTCTGTTGAAATGATCACAAAACTATCCCTCGGAGTAGGCCTAATCACCCAATAAAATAAAATAAAAATGAACATAAAAAAAGAAAGTGAAGTTTAATAAAGGAATAAAACAACCTTTAGATTTCTGTTCGTTTTCCGTTCTGCAGTAGCCACTGATGAAGAAATATGCTTATGTTGTAAAAAAAGTAGGTAGAAATCCCAATAATGCGGTTGTAATATTCTTACTGCCTGTGGACAGGAGTTCTCATCAGACTACTTGGAACAGTTTTTTTAACTTTAGATCACAAATCACAACTAAGAAATGTTGCGAAATGTAAGAAGAGAAACCCCGCTTGTGATTGGTTTTTTTTTTTAGTTTTCATATTTCTCTTTTTTTTTTTTTTTCCCCTTGGGTGGGTTGTGGGCTAAGGGGAGTCAATTTAGTTGGGATAACTTGATTGTTGCTTTTCTAGGTACCCCTTGTTTGCGATTTTTCTAATACAAGTTCTTTTCTAGAATGCAAGCTCAACGTAGTGGTGCAGGCACTGCTTACAGTAGCATGTCAGATGTATTCTGGAGAACATATAATCGTGAAGGTCTCAGGGGTTTCTACAAAGGGCTCTTTCCGAATCTTCTCAAAGTTGTACCTGCTGCAAGCATTACGTATCTAGTTTATGAGGCCATGAAAAAGAGTCTCGATCTTGACTAGCAATGGCTGCAAAGAAAAAAGGCCGATGATGATGAAAATGATGGTGATATCGTACTATAGGTTAATAAAAAAGGCAAAACAATATTATTTTTTGTTATATTGGTGATAATTCTTGGGGTTACACATTGGATTTTTCAATTGCCCCTAGGGATAAAGCTCTAGGATGTGTAATCCTCTGGGGATTGACCGACTAACTGGTTTGTTTTTAAGATGCACGGTGTTACGGTTGCATGTTGTTATGTCTTTATGGTGTTGAGTAATACTTGGTTACTGTTGTAGAGCTTCTTTTTGCCTCACTAAGTGCATGCAGAAGAAACGCTGAATTCGCGGGAGTTTGTGATCCTGTTGTATTGTTGTTCATGGCCTCATGGGAACTACTTTTATTTTCAACAGTTCAAAATGTTCATGGATGCTTTTATTTTTACATGATGAAATGTCATATTGTATAAAGAAAAATATGTATTGTAAAAAAACAATTGCAGAATAAATTATTAAACTCTTTTTTTCTAGATTTGATGTACAGATTCGGCCCAAATTAGCTTTTATTTAATTTTTAAATCAATAACTATAATGAAGTTGTATGTTTGTAAAATCATTTTCCAACCAATGTTCTGCTAGTATAACACCCGTGTAATACACGGGTACTTGCTAACTTTTTTCTTAAAATTTAAAACTAATGACAAAAAGTGGTTGAAAAGTTAAATATTTTTTTATAAAAAAATATATTATTATATATTATAGTATGACACTTGTTCCTTGTGCGACTTACTTGTGTTATATTATAATAATTTTTCTAACATATATCATATAACTACATTGAACATAAATATATTAATTGAGAAATTATTTTACTTTTCTAATTAATTTAATAAATAATTTTATTATTATTTTAGAGATAATTATAATTTATGTGTTTTATATATACAATATGGATGTCAAATCGAAGCTCATCAAAAAATGATTAATTTGATATATTATATATGCAAAACCAATAAGAAATACAAAAGTTATCAACTTTTAAAATATATATAAAAAATCAGGGATATATTATGTAAGATTACAAATAATTAAAGGGATATATTAGTATAAGGGTTATGAAATTACTTAAGTTAGCTTAATAATATTTATGGAATGTCCGAACCTAAGTTATGGAATGTCCGAACATAAAATTATTAATTTATAATATCAATATTAATTGTCCAAACTAATATACGAAGTATGATTCTTCGCCAAGTAGGATTCTTCCTGGGTTACCACCTCTTCGGGACATTCAGCTTCATGGTGCATCCATCTTCCCGAAGAGGTGGTACACAACAACACAAGATGCAATGCAATGTATGGCTTGCAACAAGGGAAAAAAACTTATCACCTTATTGTCAATTGAAATTTGTCTACTCATGTTTTTAATATAAATATCAAATCGTTTTCCTTATAAAATTAGTTATATTTATGACATTTATTAATGTAATAGGAGGATATACATGATTTGCAGGCCTTTACACGTTGAGACATTGAAAGACATTGGGGTGGATCATAAGGCTATCTGATTTTTGGAGAGCATTGAAATGTATTATTGTTTGCTATTGGAATTCAGTTTTATTCGGTGAGTTAATCAGTGGAGGCCTTGTTAGCTTTCTTTATATAGTCGTTACATATTGTTAAGTAATTTGGAGTAATTTGGAGTTCATGTATGTATTGCTGAGGTTGACATAAATAAGTACGTTTCACGTGTGTATATAACTTCTAGGGTTGTAATATTGTGTGAAATACTGTGTCTTTTTTTTAAATAACATTTTACTGACAATGCTAAAGAGCCAACAGTTGGCTCCGTTATAAAGCCAATAACCAATGAGACAACTCCAGGTGGGGCTGACCCACAATACTTTAATGTGGGACATCCCCACATGGAGTTATCCAATTGGTTGTTGGCTCCATAACGGAGCCAACTATTGGCTCCTTAGCATTACTGAACATTTTACCTCTTACTTCTCTAAAAATAAACTTTAATTTGTTGAACAATTGGATCAATTTATTTATGTTAGGCTGGTAACGGTGTGGTAATCGAACATAAATGCGATTTACCGAACCGAACAGAATCTTTGGCGTCGGCCAATGTTCAAATTGGTACCGCTCTGAAATTGAATTGTTGAACATCGGGATTGAATTGTTTTATCAGAACTGCGGCAACTAAAAATCAATTTGGTATGAGTAAATTCGGTAATATCAAAATTAAGAGCGGAAAAAAATAGTTGCAAAATTATGAAAGAAGAAATGATCGAGGAAAAAAAACAGCGAATAATGAGGAAATTTACTTTGTATATAGTTTATGAATGTACTGAACTTAAATGGAGACTTTCATGTTTCAAAGTTTTATGTGGTAAGTTTTCATGCTTTGTGATTTGGCTTGGATGAATTTTGATTAATTATCAATCCAAAGATAATTAGATTTCATATAGATTTAAATATATTAAATATTGATGATTATTTTTTAATGCAATAATTATGTTACATTTCATATTCTAAACGTTACAAGGAATAATTTTTTTTCTCGTTATTTCTTTTCTTTCTCATATTTCTTTTAAAATTATGAAAAATTAGTAAGTTAAATTATAAGTAGGTATAAAAATTAAATATTTTTTAAAAAAAAAAATTATAATTTTTATACATAATATATCAAATTAATGAAGTTTTACTGAGCTCCAATTTGACACTTATAGACTTATATTGTATCTACAAAATAAATAAATATTTATGTTCATCTTCATAAAAAATAAAATTGCCTATTAATATGAATTAAAAAATAAATTATTTAAATTAATTTAACTACAAAATTGTTAATAGTATAATTTAAAATAATTATCATAATATAAGATGGTCGTTCTAATAAGTGATTCGTGTAATTTTAGTTATAAATAGTTTATTCGAAAAAGTAATTCTAAATTAAATTAATTTGTTATTATTTTTTAATTTTAAATATAAATTTCTTATCAAGCTCGGAGATCGCAGTTGGGCTTGGTCACCTCGGACTCCCACCATATTGAAAGAAATATTGAAGTACTGGAGAGCAGCGGGGCTTATAGGCCTCCAAAAATGTCAAAAATCCCCATGAACAAGTTCCTCAGTCCCTTTTATATGTCACACGACTCGTGTGACTTAAATGACATATCACACAAATTATGTTATTCAAATATCGCTGGTCTTTCCAGAGTCACACGACTCATGTGACTTAAGGTCACTTACCATACGAGTCGTGTGAAAATGTCGTAACAAAATTTAATTCTTTTCCCTTAGCCACGACTCGTATGGCTCATGGACACGAGTCGGATGGTCGATTGTGCACCTCATTTTTACTGATAAATATGACGCATGTAAGTATCTCTATCATAGATTAATAACTCAAACAAAACGGTGCACAATCCAGTGATAAACAACCAAACATACTATTCTATCACTCAAAATGCATTTAAATACGACGCATGTCATCACACAGTTATGATGCCGTACATAAGAATTTGTGCAATCTATGTATATATATACAAAATAAAATCATATTTATATAATATATAGCTAGAAATATTGAGTTTCTCTCTCCCCTATCGTCTCCCCCAAATTTCAAAAATCAAAACCCTAGCCTTCTTCGTCGTCTCCCTTCACCGACGGAGCCGTCGGGCCCCTAGACGGTTGTCAATTCCTTGTTTATGGCGCGACTGCGATTTGATGCCAGGGCCATCTTCCCAAGCGATTGGAGTCGGTCGGCGTTCTCAGGTGGTCCTCGGCTCTTGTGGCTGCCATCTCGGGAAAAAGACCGCCGGTTCCATGGTGGCGAGACGGAGGACGGTTGTGGTGTTGAATCGTGGGCGGGTTGTGGCTTCTTTTGCTGCGTAGGTGGACGGGGCGGAGGTTAGTGGTTGCCTCCCCTTGTTCTTCTCACCTCTGGTGTTAGGGATGGAGGATCTGCTGTCGGTCGGTCATGGCTGTGGCGTTGGCTGGGAACGGGGTGGTGGTGTATGGTGTATGGTGGGGCTGGCCGGTTGATCTTCGGTAGAGGGGTTGTGGTCGGCCGCCAGGGAGTAGGCTGAGGTCTTGGGTTTTGCTAGTTAGGCCGGTGTTGCAGTTTCTGGAGTTGAAATTGGGTCGTGGTTCGGTCTATTCGGTGATCGATCGTGATGTTACCGTTGATGCTCGTCTGGTGTGTTTGTACGGTTGGGGGAAGGGCTATTTTTTTGTGTGTTTTTTGGTTTGTGTGCTTGTGATTTTTGTGTTCTTTGTGTTTTCCTATTTTTCGATTGTGTTATTATCCTTTTGGGACCTAGATTCGCCTTTTAGGAGTTGGTGTTATTATCCCAGTTGAGATCTTAATTCTCCTGTTGGGAGTTAGTTTTATCATCGTGAGTGCGTTGTGGTGTCTAGGCTTCCTCGGGATGTCCTCTCACTAGATTCGACATTTGTTTGTCTCCTAGTTGTAATTATGTGTGATATTTATAAAATTCCTATCGTTTCGAAAAAAAAAATCAAATATAATAATGATTCATCATGATTTAATAAACCTATATGCTATTACATAATTTATTTTTTAATTTAACATTTCCAAATAGAAGTATGATTTTCTAATACTCAACCTGACATGGGCGGACCGACACTTAGTCTGTTGGGGTATCACAACAAGCGCAGCGGACAAAAATACCCCTCCAACAAATATGGCGAACACTACTCCAAAATAAGCCAACACAAATAAAGGACGAGGAATAAAAAGAACACAAAAATTGATAACGAAGTTCGGCGAAAATAGCCTACGTATCCGGGAACCGCCAACCGCAATACCAAATTTACTAAACTCACCAATAAAATACAACTAGGGTTAAATAACCCACAAAATAGGATTTCCTTCTAAATATGAGAGAATAAAATAAGGTGCAATTGTAGCCCAAAGGCAAGAGACCTATTTATACTAAAAAACATCCTACACATCTTTGTTACACATCCGATGTGGGACAAACTTA